GAGTGTAAAGGTAATCTAAAATATTGTGTTCGTATTTGCGGTCTCTTGCTGATGCTCACGCGAAGGTTTTGAAAAGTTTTATCGTGAGAGGGGTGTAATGGCGGTTTCTTCTCCGATTGTTTGCTTGTTTTTGCCAATTTGCCCAGTGTTTTGACCGTAATGTCATGGTTACTCGGGATTATTTGTTGTAGTTTCCGAGCGTAGGCGGTCAAGATGTAAATAAATTTATGAACATAATAGAAAAGTGGCTCAATACGCAACTACAGAAAATTTACATGTGCATAAGCAAGTCAGAAATATCTTTGGAACATAATAGACTTCAAGTGAAATTTTGATGTCCTAGAGGACATACGGAGGGATAGCGCGGGATTTGTTGACTTTTTTGGCCACATTTTAGCGTGGGATGGGGATTGCTTTGCACTTTTGTAGCAGAATCGTCGGGAAAACACCCATGGAATTTGTTGCCAAGGTTATATTATTGTCTTGATTTATAATACGTGTAGTATTGTAGTCCTTTGTTCTTGCTACTTGGGAGGCTCTCAGTCAGTGCAGAAGACAGTAGCAAAATGTGAGTGTCAGAAAATGGCGGAAAGAGAGAAAGATATTCTTCTTCTCTCCACTAGCATGCGAGCAAGCTCTCTGGGATCCTAAATCTGGGTAGTGACCTGACGCGTCATCAGTATGGAATTTCTGCACTCGTGTCTCTGCTGTCACTTTCCAGGGAAACCAGTGGTGGCGTTGCAAAATGTTTGCTCTTTTTACAGGCTATTACATCACAATCATGTTGCATACGTCATGACCTGTCAGGGACAGGATAGTATAGCAGTATACTAGTACAAAAGAAAATTATACATTCATTGTATCTCTTCATCTTCCAGGTACAGGAATTGAAGAGTAACTGACTCATATTTAACCAACTGCCACCAGTCACACATCATTTCCCCCATGGGGTGTGGTTCCTCAACAGCGACAAGGACAGGTTAGTGGTAAATTTAGCAGAGGGTACTTACAATTTTCAAGGGGAAAACTGGAAATTCTGGTTGGAAAATCAAATGGTTTGTGCTATTCCATTTGGGAAGCTTTAGAAAATATGGGCCCAGATTTGAGGGGGAGTAAATTTTTCTGTTCTTTTCAGTCTGTTCAGTTGATTTGGATATTCTACTTTGTGACGGGTCATTCTCCCACTATGTCAAGTTTTATTGTTTTATGTTTAGGCACAAGATTTCTACCTGGGTGGTTTGTTTACATGGTAAGCACCCAGGGTCTTGCACCCATATACAGTGTAACCTTTCCTTTGGAACACCTCCGTTCAAGGGATTCCTTCATTTAGGGGACACATAATTTGGTCCCGGAAAAACACTCTCACAATCTTTGTATCTATTACTTCTATTGAAGGGACACCTCTGTTCAGGAGGAAGGGACACTTTTTTCTCCTTAAACCTGGGTTTAATAATGATAATAATAATAATAATAATAATAATAATAATAATAATAATGATGATTCGGAGGTGGCACGTCCACAAAGTGGTTCTTCGTCCCCCTGATTTCTGATCGAATTGGAATTTGGAAATCTTGGTTTTTGAGGAGAGGGGAAAACCAGAGTCCGCGGAGAAAAACCTCTCGGAGCAAAGGATAGAACCAACAACAAACTCAACCCACATATGGCGTCGACGTCGGGATTTGAACCCGGGCCACATTGGTGGGAGGTGAGTGCTCTCACCACTGCGCCATCCCTTGCTCCCCAAACCTCCATTCAAGGGACACCTTCCGTTCTCAAAATGTGACTGATCACAAAAAGGGTTGACATGTTTAAGTTCACACTGATTACAATTACGAAAACGTTCACTAACTGAACTATCTCACTTAAATCGATGTACTACTGGTGTGAATTCAACATATATAATATTGCAGAGATAATTAAGTTAATGATCATTTTTTATGTTGTCTTTGTTGGTTAATTATTAGCAAACCCCAGCCCAGGATCTATTTAGTGGACACCTCTATTCTGGAAACACTTGCCTCACTCTCAAGGGTGTCCCCTGAATAGAGGTTCCACTGTATTTATATAATTTATATAAATGGACTGACACATTTGCATTATTATGCAGTCAAACTTTACATAAAAACAACCCCTGACTATGCCAAAAATTAATTTTAAAATATTTAAGTGTCAATGATTTTAGCACTGCATTACCAATTATCATAATGTTATTATTGAGGTCACTTTTTTTGGTCTCTTACTGAAAACAGGACCACGACTCCTGTGTGGTAATCTGAGCCACGCGAAGGACTGGCTGGTTGAAAGGCAAAGTCAGTTCCTACATTTCTCATTTATTTTAAGAACCTGAGTGGAGGTGTAAAGGCCAGCTCTAACCCATGACACTCNTCCCCAAACCTCCATTCAAGGGACACCTTCCGTTCTCAAAATGTGACTGATCACAAAAAGGGTTGACATGTTTAAGTTCACACTGATTACAATTACGAAAACGTTCACTAACTGAACTATCTCACTTAAATCGATGTACTACTGGTGTGAATTCAACATATATAATAGTGCAGAGATAATTAAGTTAATGATCATTTTTTATGTTGTCTTTGTTGGTTAATTATTAACAAACCCCAGCCTAGGCTCTATTTAGTGGACACCTCTATTCAGGAAACACTTGCCTCACTCTCAAGGGTGTCCCCTGAACAGAGGTTCCACTGTATTTTTATATAATTTATATATATGGACTGACACATTTGCATTATTATGTCGTCAAACTTTACAAAAAAGCAACCCCTGACTACGCCAAAAATTAATTTTAAAATATTTAAGTGGTAATGATTTTAGCACTGCATTACCAATGATCATAATGTTATTATTGAGGTCACTTTTTTTGGTCTCTTACTGAAAACAGGACCACGAGTCCTGTGTGGTAATCTGAGCCACGCAAAGGACTGGCTGGTTGAAAGACAAAGTCAGTTCCTACATTTCTCATTTATTTTAAGAACCTGAGTGGAGGTGTAAAGGCCAGCTCTAACCCATGACACTCCACTTTCTGCAGGATAGCACTCTACTGATGAGCTAACCCTTCCCTGTTAACATACTGTACAAGAGTTACACTAAGGGTCTCCATGCACTGAAAAAAGTAACCTTGGCTAACACGTCTTGTTATTGGAGGAGAAATTATTGTATATATTGCATGCAATAAGAGTACAGATATACAGTCAAGCCTCCACTATTGACCACTGTTTTGGTGGACAGTCCATGCACTGACTCTTGTTTAAACCTCACTACAGCGGCCACCTCTCTACAACAGCCACTTTTGTCTGTCCCTGAGGTGGCCATTGAGGAGAGGTTCAACATTACATACTGTGCAAGTGCTATGTTGCAACCAAACCAGCCTAAAGTACTGACTTGGTACATACACAAACAATAGGTATCAGAAGTAAGATTGTAATAATAATACCGGTAAGCACTTTATTTGAGTGTCAAATTATTTAGCACGAAAGTGCTAATTGGGGACTCTATATTATACATGGTCATCCGAGCCACGCGACAGTCCAGCCGCCTGCAGGGTAAAGGAAGTACCTTCATTTCTCAGTTATTTTAAGACCCTGAGTATTGGCCCAGCCCTGTGAATCGAACCCGCAACCTCCCGCTCTGTAGTCAAGCACTCTACCGACTGAGCTAATCATGCCATGGTTTATGTAATGATGTATGAGCAGTTGTTTGGCATCAAATGATAAATGATCCCATTTCTATGGGAAGGCGATCAGATAATATGTACGTGTCATATGATTGTTTACTTGAGGTTTAAAACTGTAGAAACGTTAAACTGTCACCTCATAGAGTGTGCACCAAATTATAATGATTACAGTGGATTTCATCTACATGATGTATAGTGCTTTGAATGGGTAATGTTGGTATTTTGGGCTGGTGATTGCTTAAATTAATTTTTTCTTGCAAAAGTGTCCATTGCACATAGAGGTTCAACTTTCTTGCATAAAAAACAAATTTTTCTAAATCTAAAAAAGGCAGGTTTGACCATCCTGTTTGGTTTAAACGTTTCTGTGTGCTGGCTACTTGTTTTCCGAGTCTGAATAAACAAAGTCTTCAGTAAATAAATATATTTTTTTATAAATTTGTCTTTACTTGATTATTAAATGTAGTGAAATTTTATCCATTCAAAGGTTTTCAATCTAACCGAATACTGTAAATGCAGATTTGATTTCATTTTTTTCAAATAATCAGTTCATTAAGAAAATCTATGGGGGTAGACCTGGGTGACAGTAAAAACAGTGTTCTTGCCAGACTATAGCATTGTGGCATTGCCACACTTTTTCAGGACACTATAATTAGCCCAGTGCAAAAAAGGGAAACAAAATATGTATTAAAAAACGTTTGTAATATAAGCCAAAATTTAATTAGTTATGGTGGCTTTAGAAAACAGCCATCATTATCTAAGACTCAGACCTGTGAAAACTTTCTGTTAACTGTCCCCATGGCCCACTGTAGCTTCTCTATCAGTCCTGTAGACCCAGCGTATGAAATGCTGGTAAGAACACTGTAAAAAAATTACACTATGTGCACTTGGTTGATCTCATCTTTGAGAACCTTTTGGCTATGACCACAATTTAACCATTTCAGTGGTCCGGTATTTTAGATTATGTTCACTGGAAGAAAGGTTTACTGTCAAACCAGGAAAACTGTGATCACCAGAAAATTTCTGAAATTGTTATTGTGTTGCAAGAAAAAAGCCAATAGGTTGTGTGAAGCTAAACCGCAAGCAAGAACGTTAATTAGTTTGTGGTTTTGTGGCTAGTTTGTGTGTCCTAATCTTTGCTTTGATTGGTTTTAACACAACAAAAATTCCTGAAATATTTCAAGTGTTGACGGTTTTGTGTTTTGCCAGTTTGACATTTATGAATACAACTTTAAGTTTTGCATTATTACTTTTTTTCTTATCAGTTGCCCAGCCATCTCCAAAATCTAACCAAACCTCAAGCCATTCCATTAAAGAGATCAATGGTCATGCTCACAGACGTAAAGACAGTGAACAAAGTGGTGAGTTCTGTACATATAACATGCAGATGAACTGCAAAAGTTGTGATTTTAACTGCAAAAATCTTCCTTACATCCATTTCTTCATTCTGTGATTCAATATATGTAACTGATATCTATTCAGTATTTCATCTTCACCTTCCCGGGTATGTGAACCAATTATTTAGTGACCAGCTTCCAGTTGGCTTGCAAGCTCAATATTAATTTTAGAGTGCTGCAACTGTCTCGCAGAGGTCACGTTTCCAATCCCAACAAGCCTTCTTTTTCGCAACTGCATAAGTGGCCACTTTAACTGCTAAGATCTTCCTTACATTTATGCAGATGAACTGCTCTCTGTCGTTAGGGGGCAAATCCAGCCATTTTTTTCTGTCGGGGAGGAGTTTGAAATAAAACTCATCTGAAATAAAGAGTCACTCATTACTATACAAAAGGCAAACTCGCTGGACATGATGCCAAAGCTCAGATCGTCGTCATTATCAACATCATAGAGAAAGGGGTGGAGGGGAGGGTCCAGAATCCCTGGGTGTGTCTTCTGAGAAGTGGTTATAGCCATCTGGTCTACCTGCCTGCGTCCTTGGGTTAAAAGAACATGGGGACCGCTCTAGCCGATTGCTGGACAGGGGAATTTGAGGCATGCATTGAGGTGCACTTGTTGGCGTGTTTGTAAATATTTGGACATTTTTTAACAAATAAGCGAATAATAAATTAGGAAGCCAATTTTTTCCTAAAAATTTTGTATTCTCGAGATTAATCGTCGTTTTATATGACCTGCAAGTTTCAAGATTATTGAAAAGTTTAAGGGAGTAAAATAAGGGCCACAATGCCACAAAAGTTTCGTCTTTTGTATCTTTCATCTTTTTTGTTCTTTTAGAGACGTCGTCTGAGCAGAAACGCGGAGAGGAGACATCACCTTCGGAAGCCAACGGCCATCTGCCAAACTCTCATGTTGAAACTCAAAACAAGACGGATTCCGAAACACTTGACGACAATGTTGAACGTACACCAGGCGATGGAAGTGTAGACGAAAGTGCAATTACAACAAATGAAGTATCCAGGCCCGAGAATAACAATACTAAACCTGCTCAACAACGGCCCAACGGAGATGATGTTCCCACGCACAGCTCATCTCAGAGCAAAGTTACTGAGGACGAAATGCCACCATATATTTCTAGCAGTTCAGTGGATAGCAATAATGGTGTTGCTTTGGTAACAAGCGGCGATGTTGAAAAGGCGGAAGTAAAAAAAGAAACAGAGGCACAGGGCAGCGATGACGCTGGCGCGGTTGAGATTAACTCAGCCGAGCACAGGGTTCCCAGCAAAACCAGTTTGGCCGGTGAAGCTGACTCAGTGCCACATAGGGACACTAGTGAAGTCAGTAGAGAGATAATCGCTAGTAGCGAAACTAACGAAAATAACGCACTCGTCGAGACAGAGACGGCGCCGGGCAAAAGCAACAGTAACGATAACTTACGTTTGTCAGATCAAAATGGTGCTAGCGAAGGCAGCCTGTCTGGCGAGAAGGACGCGGCGTCGCACAGTAATACCAATGAAGTCCAAGTTTCAAACAGGGATACTAGTCAAGTAAGCTTATCTAGTGATAAAGACAAATCTTCTGGACAAGATCATGAGCAAAGGAAAGGTAGTATGACCGTGAGTGAATTTTTCAATGCTCCCAGTGAAGCCAGCCTATCTGACAATACCAACACGGTATCACACACTAATACCAGTGCTGTCCAAGACTCAAATAAGGATGCTAGTCAAGTGAGCTTATCTAGCAATAAAGAGACATCTTCTGGACAAGATCATGACCAAAGGAAAGTTAGTATGACCGTGAGTGAATTTTTCACGGCTCCCAGTGAAGCTAGCCTATCTGACAATGCGAACACGGTATCACAGAGTAATAACAATGCTGTCCAAGATTCGAACAGGGATACTAGTCAAGTGAGCTCATCTAGTACCAAAGGCGTGGCTTCTGGACAAGATGAGAGCCAAAGGAAGGCCAGTATGACAGTGAGTGAGTTTTTCGGTGCACCTTCTGACGCTGAGCTTCATTTGTCTAACCAAAGTCTTGGCTCTTCACAGCAAAATGCTTTACCAGCTACTACAGAAACCGAGCACCCAGATGAACCAAACAAAATCGTCAAGGAGGAAACTGTCAGTGAAAAAGACACATTAGCAGATAAAACTATTGAAATTGCAGAGAGCGCGGATCCCTTCTCAACAAGGCGAGATTCGTCAATGAGCACGGATACAGACCCAGATAGAATTTGTACAGTGACTGCCAACGTTAAAATAGGTTGTATAGAACATCTTTCAGGCCACAAAACTGTCACCTTAACGGGGTCAGTGTACCGTTTACCTAGAGAAGATGATTCAACCACGCCCAAACCCGGCGATAAAATTGGCATCGTTAAAGGGGATGTTACCTCTTCACCTGCTGACAATGAAACGAGCGAAAAACTGGCTATTCTACGCGGTGACCTCTTCGCCGTTTCGGGTGAGGCAGCTGCAAATGGACTCATTGCTACAGCCTCAATCGATGTCTTATCTTGTAGTTTAAGGGAAAAACTAGCCACCATTACAGCGGACGTTGCACCAAGCGACGACCCGGAACACCAGTCTGGTGTCATATCGGGTGAGGTTCTCGCCGCGTCCGAACGCGGCTCCTATGATGATAAAATTGGAAGTCTGTCTGGAAAAGTGGTTGCTTTGACATTTGGCGAGGGTGTCACTTCTCTTGCCAATGCGAACAGCTGATAACTTTCAATTTGCATCCATATAATTGCTTATATTTTAGGATAAATGAATTTGGAAACCGATCGCTAGGTAAGCGTCATATAAATTTTTAACTTATTTGGACTTATCATAATAATTAAGATACCATCGTCTGGGCTTTAAGCTACAAACTCCACTGCTGATGTCTAAACATGACTGTAAAACCCAGTGAATTTGCAGCTTTTTTAGTGAAAGACATGAAAACATTCGACTACCACAATTGCGTGGAAACTAAAGTTTGAAAGTTTTTGTCTTCCTAGAAGCCTTTATTTAAAAACGTACAATGTGTCGCAACACTGAAATCATTTCAGATGGTCCCGCTCTTATAAATGATTTATGTTTGTAGAATGCGGAGTGTGATGCAAATTAATTTTGTTTTATAACATAGCCAGCGCGCGTGTCATGTTATCGTTCTTAACAGTCTGTGTTCACCCTGGGTGATCAAATACGATACTTGCCGGGTGGTAATGTGAAACCATCAATTTCTCAAGTACAGAACTGGCCCGTGCGCCAGCTCCACCTTGTACTAAGGCACCGATTCCCCGTATGCACGCTTTTTCTTTTAGTTCAAAATAAAATCCGCATCATCTTATTTCGGGTATTAGCCTGCGTAGCAGGCGCTTGGAAGTAAAGAAAGAACAGGGTGCGCGAGGGATACACGCGTGTCTCTCGCGCGCCTAAATACTTCCAAGCGCCTGTTAAGCAGGGTATTCGGGTACCCATTGTTTGAATACAGTACCATTTTGTCGCGATGACAGGCACTAGCTCTCGGGCACGAAAAGTGAACGAGGTCTTAAATTAGTGTACATTGCGTGGTTTAAAATAAATCAGACTATACAATTGAAGTTGTGTATCGTGGCATATTTGAAGACTCCGCCTCTCGGACGGCGAGATGGTATTATGATATTTAAAGATTACTCGGGCTATGTATTTTTGTTTGAATTTTTGACTCTAGCTTATTTAGCAGGCGCAAAAGAGGTACACGAGATTAGCAATTTGTTCTAGGGCGGAGGACATGCAAGGGTCTTTCTTCATCGCGTCATCGCACTTATTTTTCGCCCTTTTATTTCTCACACGCCTGCTACTCAGGCTGTTTTGAACACTGAATTGTACATACGACAAGGAACTGATCTTACTCATGAATTTGGGGTACCTTTAATTTGGTGTCTGCAAACATTTTCTGAAGACAACAAATTTCTCGATATAACATTGTCCCATTGTCAGTTTCCTCAAATTTCCATTAAGTTTCCTCGGCTTAACCCGAGTCTAACCGCAACTACGAACTGTCATTCTAACTTTTCATTACAACTTATTAGTGAAGATTTTGTTTCAAGATCTATCAAACTATAAACAACTAATAACGCGGTTGGTCTTGATTAAATCAATGCACGTCTCCCAAAAGACGTCTCAGATGTTATCACTCCTTCTTTAACAGCTCTGATTAATTTAGCTCTTCAAACAAGATCTTTTCGATCTATACTGAAAACGGCAAAGGTTTTACCCTTGTCCAAAAAGGGCGATAAACAGGATGCTTCTAATTACAGGCCGATCTCTGTTTTGCGACCTTAAGCAAAACCTTAGAGAAGGCGGTTCATACTGAGCTATATGCCTACCTAACTGGAAATAATTTAATTTCACCGAACCAGTTTGGGTTTAGATTGAAGTCATCTACTGTTAGTGCCGCTTCTCGGCTTTCTGAACAAATCCTTTACTCCTTGGACATTGGTTGCTTGACTGGTGCTGTGTTCTTGGACCTCGCTAAAAGCGTTTGACACCGTTAATCATACAATATTGCTTTAGAAGCTTTCAAGTCTTGGTGTAGATGATACTGCCAGAGCCTGGGTTACCTCATTTTTAACGGAATAGGAAACAAGTAGTGAACAACTGTAATGACGCATGCTCTGAAATTGCCCCTGTTTCGATCGGCGTTGTGCAAGGTTCTATATTAGGGCCATTATTATTCATTATTTACATGAATGATCTACCAGATGTTTTGCAGTTCTACCAAGTCACTTTATATGCGGATGATACTGTTCTATACCTTTCCTCTAAATCTGCTGGGGACTTCCAACGCAAGATTAATGCTGACTTAGGGCGTACGGTATTTATTCGATTAACGGCCCTAGGCGCGCTCATTAAATTTTTGGACCTTGAGAGCGGGCACTTATTCGGGGCTGGGCGCTTATTAAGTTTTCACCATTTTGAGCAAGTGTAGTATGTCTATTTTGCAACAAAACATTAAATGGTAATAACGAAACGCGAAGATGTAACAAAGCACGGTTTCTTTAAACTAGCCCTCCTCTGAAGAAAACTCTGTCTTCGCGGAAGTCTCTTTATGTTGGTACTTATTCAATTTCAGTCTCATTGCCATCCAAGTGGGTGGGGTGGGGGTGGGCGCTTATTCGAGGCTAGGTGCTTATTAACTTTTTCTGCCTTTAGGATGGGCGCTTATTCTCAGTCTGGTGTCATATCGGGTGAGGTTCTCGCCGCGTCCGAACGCGGCTCCTATGATGATAAAATTGGAAGTCTGTCTGGAAAAGTGGTTGCTTTGACATTTGGCGAGGGTGTCACTTCTCTTGCCAATGCTAATAGCTGATAACTTTCAATTTCCATCTATATAATTGCTTATATTTTAAGATAAATGAATTTGGAAACCGATCACTAAGTAAGCGTCGTATAAATTTTAACTTAGTTGGACTTATTATAATAATTAAGATACTATCGTCTCGGCTTTAAGCTACGAATTCCACTGCTGCTGTCTAAACATGACTGTAAAACCCAGTGAATTTGTAGCTTTTTTAGTAAAAGACATGAAAACATTTGACACACTGAGCGTTTTACGCCATTTTTTTGGATTACCACAATTGCGTGGAAACTAAAGTTTGAAATTTTTGTCTTCCTAGAAGCCTTTATTTAAAAACGCATAATGTGTCGCAACACTGAAATCATTTCAGATGGTCCCGCTCTTATCTCTCAGTGGATTTATGTTTGTAGAATGCGGAGTGTGATGCAAATTTGTTTTATAACATAGCCAGCGCGCGTGTCATGTTATTTTTCTGAACAGTCTGTGTTCACCCTGGGTGATCAAGTACGATACTTGCCAGGTAGTAATGTGAAACCATCAATTTCTCAAGTACAGAACTGGGCCGTGCGCCAGCTCGACCTTGTACTTAGGCACCGATTCCCCGTATGCACGCTTTTTCTTTTAATTCAAAATAAAATCCGCATCATCTTATTTCGGGTATTAGCCTGCGTAGCAAGGGCGCGCCAGGGATACAAGCGTGTCTCTCTTATCTCTTCAAACAAGATCTTTTCGATCTACATGGAAAGCAGCAAAGGTTTTACCCTTGTCCAAAAAGGGCGATAAACAGGATGCTTCTAATTACAGGCCGATCTCTGTTTTGCGACTTTAAGCAAAAGCTTAGAGAAGGCGGTTCATACTCAGCTATATGCCTACCCAACTGGAAATAATTTATTTTCACCGAACCACTCTGGGTTTAGATTGAAGTCGATCATCTACTGTTAGTGCCGCTTCTCAGGTTTCTGAACAAATCCTTTACTCCTTGGACACTGGTTGCCTGACTGGTGCTGTGTTCTTGGACATCGCTAAAAGCGTTTGACACTGTTAGTCATACAATACTGCTTCAGAAGCTTTCAAGTCTTGGTGTAGATGATACTGCCAGAGCCTGGGTTACCTCATTTTTAACGGAATAGGAAACAAGTGACCAACTGTAATGACGTATGCTCTGAAATTGCCCCTGTGTCCATCAGCGTTGCTCAAGGTTCTATATTAGGCCCATTATTATTCATAATTTACATGAATGATCTACCAGATGTTTTGCAATTCTGCCAAGTCACTCTATATGCGGATGATACTGTTCTATACCTTGCCTTAAGATTAATGCTGACTTGGGGCGTACCGTATTTATTCGATTAACCGCCCTAGGCGCGCTTATTAAATTTTTGGACCTTGAGAGTGGGCGCTTATTCGAGGCTGGGCGCTTATTAAATTTTCACCATTTTCAGCAAGTGTATTATGTCTATTTTGCAACAAAACATTAAATGGTAATAACGAAACCCGAAGATGTAACAAAGCAAGGTTTCTGTAAACTACCCCTCCTCAGAAGAAAACTCTGTCTTCGGGGAAGTCTCTTTATGTTGGTACTTATTCAATTTCAGTCTCATTGCCATCCAAGTGGGTGGGGTGGGGGTGGGCGCTTATTCGAGGCTAGGTGCTTATTAACTTTTTCTGCCTTTAGGATGGGCGCTTATTCGAGGTGGGCGCTAATTCGATGTTGGGCGCTTATTCGAATAAATACGATATATGCAAATGGTTTCGGGCTAACCAACTCACTCTGAATGTCAAGAAATCTAATTTTTTACTTATTGGTAGCGGTTCCCACCTAAGTAAAGTAGGGTCGATCCATATTTCTGCTCTGATGTGCCTCTCGAATAAGATACTGATGTAGACTCTTATGCGTACTTTGGTTTGTGATCAACAACCAGTTTAGCTGGCCGGACTCACCACATTGATTACATTTGTGGTAACTGAGATCAGCAAAAAGTTAGGTCTCTTGAAGCGTATTAAATCTTGCCTCCCCCTCAACGCTAGAATTACTTTTTTGGTTTTATCTTACCTCTTTTTGACTATGAGGGTAATATATGGAGATTGGGGAAGTGCCTCCTTGATGTCTGATATTCAAATGTTGCAATATACAAGTGTTACAAAATAAGGCAGCCCGCCTTATTTAAGACCTTCTGCGTATTCTTCTGCATCCGAGGCACTTAAGAGACTTGGTTGGAAGCCTTTATCACAACGTAGAATGGAACACCAAGCTATTTTTATGTACACGTTACTTAACTATTATTTTTGCTGCTCGATCCCAGTTTCATTCAACGGTGATTTTCATGATTAATGAAATTCTCATCTCCAGTACCACAAGACGCTGGGATCACTGGTCGTNTCTCTTTATGTTGGTACTTATTCAATTTCAGTCTCATTGCCATCCAAGTGGGTGGGGTGGGGGTGGGCGCTTATTCGAGGCTAGGTGCTTATTAACTTTTTCTGCCTTTAGGATGGGCGCTTATTCGAGGTGGGCGCTAATTCGATGTTGGGCGCTTATTCGAATAAATACGATATATGCAAATGGTTTCGGGCTAACCAACTCACTCTGAATGTCAAGAAATCTAATTTTTTACTTATTGGTAGCGGTTCCCACCTAAGTAAAGTAGGGTCGATCCATATTTCTGCTCTGATGTGCCTCTCGAATAAGATACTGATGTAGACTCTTATGCGTACTTTGGTTTGTGATCAACAACCAGTTTAGCTGGCCGGACTCACCACATTGATTACATTTGTGGTAACTGAGATCAGCAAAAAGTTAGGTCTCTTGAAGCGTATTAAATCTTGCCTCCCCCTCAACGCTAGAATTACTTTTTTGGTTTTATCTTACCTCTTTTTGACTATGAGGGTAATATATGGAGATTGGGGAAGTGCCTCCTTGATGTCTGATATTCAAATGTTGCAATATACAAGTGTTACAAAATAAGGCAGCCCGCCTTATTTAAGACCTTCTGCGTATTCTTCTGCATCCGAGGCACTTAAGAGACTTGGTTGGAAGCCTTTATCACAACGTAGAATGGAACACCAAGCTATTTTTATGTACACGTTACTTAACTATTATTTTTGCTGCTCGATCCCAGTTTCATTCAACGGTGATTTTCATGATTAATGAAATTCTCATCTCCAGTACCACAAGACGCTGGGATCACTGGTCGTCAGTTAATTCTAGACCCCCATTTTAGTTCTAATGTTTGAAACCGTTTAGACACCAGAGACACTGTCTTCATTTAAATGTGGCCTGCCTAAAGCAATTTTGTGATATGTATATCTATATCTTTATGTGCTCAACCATTATGTCTGAATGTACATATTTTTTATATATTTTTTAATGTTCACATTCTGGCATTTTGTAACTAGTTTTTAGTCTTTACCGAGTTTTCTTTGGAGACTTTGGAGGACCTAACTGTAAACCACTTCTTGTGATGTTGGCATTCCTCATTAAAGATTGCTTTATTATTACCCTCCACATTTTTGCTTTTGCATAAAGCAAAATCAAACAAAAAAACCCATTTAACAATGTTTATCACTCACGGACAGTAACTAAATTATATTACTAGAGCGAGGGGATCAATATCATGTAATCAAACATGACCCGCCGCTTTTGTTTTGCTCCTGTATTTATGCAGCTGTCTGTTAAAAGTGTTATTATTGAATTCGATTGCCATGTGCACTTGCTGCAACCATCGCTTCTTGCGGAAAGTCATCGCTACCTCCATGCTTTCCTTAGCAGCCTCGTGCAAGTCTTGTCCCGTAACTCTGCTGAACAGACCAGTCAGCTGCCGGGTCAAATCCTCACTGGACGCGGCTCTGCGATGGGGAGTTAAGTTTGCGCCTCGGAGCACTTGAGGAGCAATAAGAGACCGAGTTCTTCTTCTTCGTTTCATGAGCTCACCGTCACTTTTTGAACTTTTCGCTGATTTCACTTTATTCGCGGAAAACTCATCCGTTTTTGGCAAACTCACACCTAATTCGTTCGTTTTAATAAGAGGTATTTTCTCGCTGATTTTTTCGCCATCTTTCTTTTCGCAGTTTTCGGCCTGGTTACGGTTAGAAGCAGTATGACGACTCTCCGAACTAACCCAGACACCTTGCGTGACAAAAAAGTCGGGTTTTCGCTTCTCAAAATGACCGTTTTCGAATTCACTGCCAATTTGAATATGTGCAATTTTGTCGCTTTTGTTTACACCAACTAAGCTGGTGTTTGTCGAAATCAGTGGCAGGTCTTTAATCGGTTCCATTGGCTGTAATTGTCTTTCTTTGTTTTCTTTTTCTCCTTGGCAAAAACAAACCAATTCATTATCTTTTTCATCCCTCAAAATATTTTCTTTCCATCTGTAGGCTTTGTGATCGTTTCGCAACGAAGCGACACCACGTTTTGAATGATTCACATTCTTAATTTGCAATTTTGCCTTCGTGGAGGTTTCAAGTTTGGATATCTCTCCATGGTAACTCGGTACTGTCGCTACCGATGGAAGCAAGCAGTTTCCACAGGGAATTAACTTATCATTTTTCACGAGTTCTTCGCCAGAATTTACAATTAATTTATCATCACTATCGCCAACTCCGCTAAAACCCTCATTTTCTGAATAATCGCCATCTCTTTCTCCTATGCGTATAGATTTCACGCTCGTGTTCCCCATGACACCTGTCAAGGGCTTGTTTTTAACACTTTTAAGCATCAAAGAGAGCTGCATCTTTGAAGTGCCAGTTTGCATATTTTCTCCGAATCCATCGACTTGCACTTTTTGTCCCACAACCGCGTTTCTATAAGCTCTATTCTCCATCGCGAGAAGGAGAGGATTTGGCGAGTGTTTGTGAAACATGATCGCTCTGTCTCGTGCGCGCTCGCACCATTTCCGCACACGCCAATAAATTCCGAGCGTGAGCCCTGACGTGCTTCGAGAGCGAAACTGTTCGGCAATAAGCAGTTTAAAACACTCGGTTCTCTTATATCTCCGTGCGATATTACATGGTGTCAGACCGTAACCATCCTTGGCGAGTATACATGCGTAATT